GCGTTGCCATTGATTGTACCTACTAATTTAAACCAAATTAACAATTTATATTATGTTTTTTTCAAAATACACTCCATCACTCTCTACACAAGTTTCCATCGGCCTAAACCATTCTTGGAAACACTTATTCCAGACAGGTTAAAAATAGCTGATTCGTAGGCAGCCACCGCTTCTTCGGCACCTGAAAAAAATTGCCTTTTATGGTTGGGAATGAAAAGAGGTCACAAGGAGCTAAGTCTGTAAGGTGGGGGAGGTAGGATTTCAATACACGATTCTTGAATAAACGCCTTTGTTCTGAGGGAATAGTGTGAAAACGCATGCGACTACAAATATGCGACTATAGTGTACGATTCTGATTTAACAGACTTACAATTCTCTAGAATTGATGTTGCGAGATTTTCATCTTGCAACATCAATCAAAGCAGAAAAAAAAGTATGTGTCTGCAATTCACACACGGCTGAAGTATTTTTTTTTAACTCAGAAAAACTATATAAAATTTTGCCCGGCCCGGGAATCGAAGCCACTAAGGCAGCGTTTTTCAAATTCGCGGGTACCCGCTAATAATTAATAAAAATATTCACAATGTCAAAATATTATTTTAAAAATAATATGTAATGTATTCTATTTCTTTCTCTCGCCGACCTAATCCTATACATTTATGTGTTTGTTTCTTTATCGTGACGCATTTTCGCTTCATCGAGTTTCAAATCACAACGATTCTAAATAAGCTTCACTTCAAAAACTATTTTCATTTTTGTATTATTAAGAACACTAAATCTCGTCAGTAGCTGCACCTACTAAACTAAAAAAAAGTCGACAAATGTCAAATGCGAGTCCCAGTAGGGTGGCACACCGATTGTTTCGCGCAAACCTGTTTGTTTCTAGAACTTTCTAGGAACAAACAGATTGAAGAATTATCTTCAATCTCGGGAATTATCACTTGAAGATTTACCCTCATTTTGTCGTTAGAAAAATACTCTCCTATCTCCTCCTCCTATGACATTTTGATCACAAAAATGATTTTTGTTTATATAAAATAAAAACAACAAACTAATGATTTTCTAATTGAATTTTATTACATTACATTGCCAGACTACATAGATTTTCGCGAAAATTTCTAAGTACCAAATCTTTTTGTAATTTTCAACTTATTTTATTTTTTGGAGTCATTCCTTTATTTGTGCTCTATGACGTTTCTTTTTGCCAACTTTCGTGATTCTAGGTCAACGGGAACTACCATATAGGGTTTCGACCCAAAACCTATGGGGTACTTCCGGTTGACCTAGAATTTTCAATTTTGGTTAAGAGCAAGGTCTTACAGCACAAGTAAAGAAAAAATTCTGAAAAATAAAAATAGTTGAAAATTAAGGTAAATTTTGGTACTTACAACTTTACTTTGGTACTTACAACGCGAAAATCGAAATTTGCCCATATCTTTTTATGGTGTTGACTCAGAACCGTGATTTTTATACACCTAATAGGGACCATAGATCTCAGTATCGGGTATAAATTTCAACTTGCTAGGTCTACCCGTTCCTGAGTAAATCGGTGGTGACACACAGACAGACGGACAACAAAGTGATCTTATAAGGGTTCCTTTTGTACCTTTTGAGGTACGGAACCCTAATAAAAAATATTTCTAGCACTTAAATAGCCGTATGTTCGATTCCGTTGCCGTAGAAGCTTTGCAGTTTGCAGAGCCAGCGTATGATTAACTTGACAACTTTTTGCAGAGACTGACAGACAGACAAATGGAGATAAACCACTAAGTAGTGTGTTCCTTTCTTGAGGAACTAAACCCTAAAAAACAAACAGATTAGATAAATGTAAGTAAACTGTTTTATCCAGTAATAAAAAAAAATACCGTTAAATATCCTATTCTGACTGTTCAAAATAGTCTTCTACAGTCGTCTGAAAAAGCATTACTTATACTTATTACAAAGTGTTTTTGTGAGACAATGTAAATGTATGTCATGGGTTGTTGCACTCTTTTTAGGACATGCTTGAGGTGTATCGTGGTTGTTAGGCTTATAATAGACCCCACACGATGCTATAGGATAATTACCTACCGTACCTTGCCGCAAGCCTAACTCGCTCGCTTTACTTCAATCAATCATTTACTCTATTAGAATTTCCAGAAGACCGTTTGTAGGGAATTTCCCATTTCCCACATACAGAAAAATCCAACTTCTCTTGTACTGCTATCGATGATATATGATATGACTTTACGAAGTTAATTGTAATAATTTAAAAAAAAATGTATGTAGCTCAATTGTTGTTTCACTGCCCTCTAGCGTTGAATAGCAAAAGCAATAAGAAATTAAAATGTCTAAATGAGAAAGTACCCGGGCAAGTACTAGTACTACTACTAGATTTTAGATGGCGCTTTAAAATGAAAACAACATAAATAGATTTAAACAGTTTAGTACATTTAATTTGGTTGAAAAATAGTTAAAATATTTGGATTGGACTTTTTAAGTAACGTGAAGAATATTTTTATGATTTCATACTTCACAAAAATGTAAACAACACGTACTTAACTTCATTTACAATCTAATAAAAATTTGTAATTTGTTCAAGATGTGATTAATTGTTGCACTCTTTTTAGGACATGCTTGTTGTGCTTGTTATTTAAAAATTATATTTTTTATACCTACCCTACCTTTCGTGTTTTTAATATTATTTCCGAATTAAAAGGTTGGTGCTATACAGCACAAAACACTTTTTTACTCACGAGTGAGGTGCACGTCAGGAAATGATGTTTCTAAAAATATTGACTAATACTCGTAAGACAGACACCTAACTATCGCTACAGTTACTTAATGGATCCAATGTCTGAAGACATAGTTCAAATTAAAACAAAGTTATATTTTAACAGGACAGTTACATTAAACACAAACTCAACCGTTGCTATAAAAGTTATAGTAGGACTTAATAGATGGCGCTATTACTAAAATAAAATAATTGAAAACTATAACTTTTAAATTACACTAGGTTTTGTCCGCGACGTCAACCATGTATGTGTATATCGGTTTTCGCAGTAAAAAGTACTTTTTTTTTTTTCTGTGCGGAAATCCCCTCGGATACCACCTATCGGTGGCATGTCGGACTCGAACCGACTAAAACCGCACGCCTCGGGTCGTCTCGGGTACTAATAACCGGGGAACCAGGTATACCCTAGAAAGGCAGTCCCTGGTGCCCCGACGTACCTCGGGCCATCTACAACAAGTAGACGACCCCCCCCCGTGTGGAAACCCCATGTTCCCTCTGCTCCCTGGAAGCGAGCGCGCTTCGCAAAGTAAAAAGTAGCCTGTGTTACTCGCTGATAATGTAGCGTAGCTTTCGTGAAAGAATTTTTTAAATCGGTTTAATGGTTTAGGCGTAAACCGAAACAACAGACTCACTTTGACATTCAGAGGTATGGATATAAGTATGGAAGTATGAATTATATATAATACGTTTTTTAATTGCCCACAATTTATGCAGACTGAAATCATTGTTAATTTTAAACCTAAACCACACTGCGGTACTTTTATAAATATTAAATTAACCGTTTTCCAATGTTAAATGCTACTGAGTGTTTAGTAACGAAACTGCCATCTTTTACTTTTTGTTCATAGTTTAGAATAGAAAATCAAAGTACACATGTCATGTTTGGAGGTTCACACGATAACTCGCATTCAGGGTAGACTTGATTTTCAAGTTTGCGTTAAAGGCGTGGGTACAGTGGCGAAATTATGGTTAGTAGACGGCGACTCTCTTTAGGGGATAAGAATTTACTCTTCCTTTAGTATACGTCTTCACATCACATTACGATGACCGTTACGATGAAAAAAAGGTACGAGTTAAAGGTATGCGAGCATGGCCTACTAGAATTATTTTATTACCTTTACTATGCCTTTCCTGACACTGCACTATCTTAATTATTTTAATTTTTCCTTTTATATTGAACTCCTCGTAGGTAGTGCTTTAGAGCTAAGCCACACGATGGGTTGACGGTGCAGTACGGCGCCGGAGCGGTGCTGCTACGTCATCCTAAATACAAAAAACCTACGAATAATAATTTCTGAAACATGAAACACGTATTTTTTGCTCCATAGTCGTTAACAGACTGAAGTTACCTTATAAACACTAAGGTCACTAAGTCATTGATGTTGCGATACCGCACTGCTGTGTAATTAACAGCGGTCCACTGCAGTGCCGCACCACTCGTGTGGCATCTCTACATGGACAACACTTTGTGTGGTCCACAAATTGTTGTTCTGAGACTGGGTATTCCTTGCGTCGGTTTCTTGAATGTATGTTAAGTCCTCCATGACACAGGAGATATTCCTAGTGCGAGAGTTGAGTTAATTTTTTTTATTTAGAAATAAATCTTTAAGTGCCCAGTTTTAGCTACCTTTTCCATTCGTCAGCAATTTACACATAAATAAACAGAAATAGTTACATTGTTTTGTTGAAGAAGCTTTTCCAGTTGTCTTAGTGGGGTGTCTTTTTAAGGAAAAATAAAAGGGAGAATAGAAAAAAATAATGCCATAAGAATTCCTAATTTTTATTTTCAATATACTTAAGTTACGATACAACATGGTAACATTGTTATACTTAGTTTATAATATGATTATAAATAAATTAATAATTTATAATACTGCACCTTAAAATAGTACATGTTACATCAATAATTCATTATTAAGAAAAAAAACTCTATCAAATAAAATAGTTCTTTTTCTTCGTATTTATGAAAATACGGCTTCAATACCTACATAAAGTAATAGAAATATCTAACTCCTTCTTAAAGTTTATCATGGTTTATATAAAATATAGAAAAAAACAGATTTAACATTGTCTATGATATTGTAATGCACAAATCCAGCCATCAATGCATTACACATAAATAAACTACATTTAGTCATTTAACATTTCAATAAAAATTATCAAAATGGTCCATATTTTATAACTATAACGATTTCTTTGGCACAACGAACTCAAACATTTACTTTTTTCATTGGAAAGCTTCGAAAAGGGGTTCCTGGTTTCTATCATTCTTGTAACTTTTGATAACCTCATCTTCTTCGAAATAATCACAAGGGACGAATAACTGAAACAAAATAAGTTTACGTTAGTTGCATAACATTGATGTGAAGAGATTATAATAAGATGCTAAGACACATAACATAATACTTAGAAATGTATTTCTCTCTTGTAAATGCTCATCATCATCAGCTTTTATAAGTCCACAAAAATGTAAATCTTAAAAGCATACCTAAAGATATATATAAAAATGTACGTGTTGTGGGAATCGCAAAAAGAAGTGCTTATTTTCAATATACATATATTTATTAATAATAATCCTAACAGACGCAAACAATAAATGGGGCAATTAGAAAGCGAAATTGAGAAAACCTACCCTGTCATTGAGTGGCTTGCCTTCGAGAACATACTTCAACTTGCTCAATTGGCATGGATTCAGGATCTTCTCAACACTCGATGCCATATGCCTCAGATCTTCGGCCTGCTTGTGCCCATCGCGTTTACCATTCGTCCAGCCTCTGGAGTACTGGAAGGTCTGAGCAGTGACGGAAGCTAATGCTATGCATATCAACAGAAACGTACTGTTTGTTATCATTGTGATAGCTGGAACAAAATAGACATGAGTTTAATATCTTGGCCAATTAGTCCAAGAAGACTTCGTGCTCATAAATATCAGAAGGCATGTTGGCATTTTCCCATTCATGTAGGTATACGTAGAATGAAGTAAACCATTTTTTTAGATCAGTAGTAAGTTCCACGGCCGATACCCAACTTTCAAGCCAGCCAGGAAAACGCCTAGTGATATGATAGAAATATGGTTGAAAAAGATAAAACACAGTATCAAATTAAAACATCTGGCATAGATAAAACGCATATTTTGGGTTGGTCTTTTCCACTTTCATAATCTTCTTTACTAATACTCCTTTTGCTTTCAAATACATATTTCAATTACAAGTAAATCTAATAATGCAGAGCCATGCAGAGATGTGCTTTAGAAGTATATGTTAGAAAACTTTGTTACTCTTACAGTGACTAAGTTTTAGTAAAATGAGAATGACAGGGAGCAAAAAGGCAGACGGGTCACCTGGTGGCAAGTGATTACTGCCGCCCAACAGTCGCGATAGCGTTGGCGGCCTTTAAGGTGGGAGTAAGCTCTTTTCTTGAAACTTGAAAGTATGTAGATCATATCATTTCGGTAATATCGTAGGCGTTCCTTTTCCACAGGTTGGTTGTTGGCAAAAAGTTTCGTGAAAAGCACACAGTGATGGAGTGCCAATTATCTAAGTGATGTTGGAAACTTTGTCGTGTTTAAAGACAAGTTTTTATTTTTAAAACAGTGAGTAATTTTACCTCTTTGGTGTTTTCTTTAGTAAGTAAACTGTATTTAGACTTTTGCATAATTTTACGTCCTAATATTATCATTATTGATTGGTTTTTCGTAAAAAGAACACTGCCATTCAAATTTTTTCAAACACATCCTACCTATAATTTATTATTGCGTAAACACTTGTTTTGATGTGTAAACTATATCAAAATATCAAATTCAAATTCAAATTCATTTATTTGCAGAATGTAGTACATACAACAGATGTCAATAATTACAATACTGGTTCAGTACATTCTACCATGACAATGGTGTGCAAAAGGTGTCATAAAGTGCTGCACTAGCAGCTCACAGTCCATACTAGGTCAATTTTATTATTAAAAGTTCTTCTATACCATATGCACGAATTTATAGAATAAGTGAGACAATAAATAAAGATTTGTCAATAAAATCATGTCAGCTTTGAATATTATTATGAATTAAAGTAATTATATTATATTGTATATTAAAATTGAAATTAAGTGATAAAAAAAAATAGTAAATATTTGTATAGGGCGGATCGCAATTATGTAAATGTTATGTTGAGGTAGGTTCCAAATATTCTTTGACTGAGTAGAAACATTTTTGTGTGAGATAAAGTTTAATTTTTTTTTGGAAAAGTAGTGGTTTTCTTTCGTTTTTAATAACGTCTGGTAGCTTGTTAAATATTTTAACTGCCATATAGTATGGGCTTTCGTTCAACATTTTTATTCTTGACGGAGGAAGGTAAAGCCTATTTTTGTGCCCGGTGTTTATGGTGTGATTGTCTTTTACTTTTGTAAAGGCATCAATATTTTTGAACACAAATACGCATATGTCGAGTATATATATCGAGGGCAGAGTTAAAAGTTGAAATTTTTTAAAAAATGGTTTACAACTCTCCGTGTTATTAATTTGGCTTGGATTCTTATACATTTCTTTTGCATTATGAATAGTTCACCGCTGTTAACGCTATTTCCCCATAGCATGATGCCATATCGGAGCCACGAGTATGCATACGCGTAGTAAGCAGACAAAGCTGTCTGTGTGTTAGTAGATCGTTTAATTTGAAGAAGGGCGTAAGAAAATCTAGAAAGTTTTGATTTAATGTGCTCGATGTGTGATTTCCAATTCATATGTGTGTCTATTTTCATCCCAAGTAATGTAAATGTCTCAACTTCTTCTAAACGTGTGTTTCTGTACATTATGTTCAATTTTAAAGGAGATTTTTTATAAGATCTGAATTGTATTATTTTTGTTTTAGTTGAATTTATTTCTAAGTTGTGATCCTTAAGCCAGTTATCTATTGTTTGAAGAGTGTTTTGTAAAAGAAGATTTGGGTTATTTTCACTTTCGCATTTTAATAGTATCAAAATGTCGTCCGCAAAAAGTACCGGCAGAGTTTTTTCTTTGTCTAATGTTTTTGGCAAATCATTTATATAAATTAAAAATAACACACAACCCAATACACTTCCTTGGGGTATTGAGGAAGTTATTTGGAGTTCTCGAGATCTGAAGGATTTTATTTCATTTTTGTCATGGTTGTAATGATTAATTTGTACTATTTGTGTCCTATTTTCTAAGTATGATTTAAACCATGAATAAGCGGGTCCCCGTACTCCACAGCCATATAATTTGTTGAGTAAAATGTCGTACAGGACCCTGTCATACGCCTTTGTCATGTCCAGCAACATTCCTACTACGTGTTGTTTGTCATTTATGTGTTGTAACGCTCTTTGAATATATTTGTACACGGCTAACGTTGTTGATCTACATTTTCTAAATCCATTTTGTGAATCGTCAAGAATATTAAACTTTTCTAGGAACGCATATAGCTGGTTACACATAGCTTTTTCGAATACCTTTGAAAACGTTGGTAAAAGGGCTATTGGCCTATAATTTGTAGGAGTGTTTGTATCATCTTTCTTATGTATTGGTTTGACTAAAGCGACTTTTAGTGCGTCTGGAAATTGACCGTCTTCAAAACTTTGATTTACTAGTAATGTCAGAGGGGTTGAAAGTTCCATTGCACATTGTTTTAATAAGATTGGTGGAATATCGTCGATACCACAACTATGCTTATTTCTAGTTGATCGAATGATATCGATTATTTCTTTTTGATTTACAGGGCGCACGTACATTGAACATGTGGAGGGGTTAACCACTGGTTGTCCAGGGGCGATGTTAGAGCTGGTTGTTTGGTTGTGCCCTACCGTTGCAAAGAATTCGTTAAATATGTTGGCTATATCTGAAGGACATTTGACTTCTTCATTGTTAACATTTAATGATATATTTTTAAGTCTGTCTATTTTCGTTTTACCGGTTTTTGTGTTAATTATATTCCACATTGTTTTGACCTTATTTTCAGAATTTTTCATTTGCCTAATAAATTCCAATTTTTTTGATTTTCTAATCTTATAATAGGTACTATGTTCATACAAAGTACCGCAATGCTACTTCGAGATTGCAATTCAAACTTTATGTTCAAAGAGTAAAGCTTTTAATTCACTATTTTATAGTACACTTTGCCTATTTAATTTTCCGGCCAGTAATGTCTACCGATGGCGTGTGAAACGACGTTTAATGTATGTTATTTCACACAACAGCGGTGGTCGTCACACTTACCCATGGATGTAGTACGTAACAAAATGAGCCTGTATTTCTTTCTACTTACGAATTGTGTAATGTTAATTATCAAGTTTTATTTAAAAAAAGGTAATTAATGACTAGGGGATATATAGGGGAACTCGATAGTGTTGAGGTGACCACCGTCACCTGTCCGTATGGTGACGGATTAAGAATACGGAGTGTCACCAATAATATTCATGTCGTGGAATTTTTTTTATGGTATAAGCAACTACCGCCGCCCATGGACACCTGCAACTCAAAAGTCACAAGTGCGTTGCTGCCCTTGAAGTCCCTCCCGCTCGAGTCAGCGGGAGGGGGGATTAGGGCTCCGGTAACCTTACTCCCTCAGTGAAAGGCAACGAAAGAATTGCTTAACACCGGTTTTCTGTGAGGCCTTGGTATCACTCCGGTCGAGCTAAGAGAGCAAAATACGTCGGAAAACCGCACTGAAAAGAGAGAAAAACTTGAAACAAACCCTATCCCTTGAACTAAACAACTTCTGGCGAATGTGGTATAATAGGGCCAAACCTCCTTTGTAAGGAGAGGCTTATATCCAGAAGTAGATTATAAAGGCTGTTGATGATGATGACCACCGTCACCAAAGCGTCATAGTTTCAGGAGCATCAAGGACAGGGGTCAAACGAGCAGTCAGGTAACTTGATAATAAAAACGATTGCCACTATCTGCTACTCAAGGACATAAATCGCATCTTAAGATCGGTCTCCGGTAACTTTATTCACTTTGTGAAAAGCAACATCGGTTTTGTATGAGGATGCCTATCACTCCCATCGAGCTGGCCTGATGATAGGTTGGTATATGCCGAAGCATGGTTCTCCTACAGTTTAACATTTGTGTTCGGATGTTTCACTTTTTGTGGAACTCTTAACACGAAACTAATTTACAGATATCGTCTTATTGTGCTTATTAATATATAAATCGTCACTGAGCAGCGTCGCACTTGACAATCGGTTCGATAATAATACATTTCATTCGAGCTGCGTCATCGTTCTACCCCGCCCGGTGTCTGCCTTAACCTTTAGAGCGGTTTCGCACTACGTCCGATCAGAATCCGATCCGAACCCGTGAAAATACGGTCCGAAGTAGTCGTAGAACTATTTCTATGGTAGTTTACGCACTAGATCCATCTTCCGGCATCCCATTTCTTTCCGTTGTCCGTGAATCTCCACTCCGGACAAGATTATTGATGGACCAAAGTAGCCAAACTATCATTTGCATGAACGCACCCAGAATTCTTTACTTCCTCTGTGTAGTACTTATGTTCAATATATCGTTGATCGGCGTCAACTTCTGGTAGAAGTTGACGCCGATCAACGATGTGAACTCTCTGCTGTGGCTCCGCGTTAAAAGACATATGCTAAGAGGTGTCCCCTGAATTGCTTGGATTAGAATTAGACATCACAATAGAACGTAAACAATAAACGAATTTATTCAGTCAGTCAACCTTCCAAATCCGTATTAATGGATCAGAAATCGGAGGTAGTGCGAGAAGCATTATTTGAATTCAGCCCGAGATTTCTAGATTCGTATTTTCACGGCTTCGGATCGGACATAATGCGAAACCCCTCTTAGGCTTTGCTTAGGCTTTTCTATAAACTACACGCTAC